CCCCAAAACCCCAAAACCCCAAAACCCCAAAACCCCGTCAGAATCTTCATTGAGTTCTGTAAATTAGTTCTTAAGAAATCAAAAGAAACAAGCTTACTAATAATTAATGATGGATCATATTTCTCATTCAACCTTTAATTTTATCATTTCTTTACCTCTTCTTATTCTTCTTCTCCATAGTATTCATCCTCATTCTCATCATCTTCCAGTTGCATATACTTACTTATTTTCATTATCATATCTTCAGCTTGTTTTCTTCTCTCTTCATCATCTAAAACTTGATTATGTTCTCTTAAACCTTTTATCTGTTGCATTAGCATTATCATGCTTTCCGCTTCCTCTTCCTCTTTACTAAGATCATAGTTTTCGAAAAATGGATTCTACTATGGGTTAATTGGAGCATTTTTAATGTAATGATCTTCCTCAATGAGCAATTACTGAATAATATTCTTTTCATTTTCATCATTCTCAAAGTTTATTACTTAGGGTTGTTTCTACCCTTATCCCTCTCCTGCTTCTGCTTTATCATCTTAATTTAAGTCGACCTAATCATCTTGCTACTTTTCTTTTATTTTTTATTGCTCTTTGAGGAAGAATTCTTGCTTCTCTTGTTCTTATCTTTATAGATCGTTTATTAAACTCTAAGGTACTTGATTCTAGTTAATTGTTCTCTTTTTCATGTTACTCCACATACAACAGTGCATGCACTCAATTAATCTCTCTAAGCCCACCTTTTCATCTCCGTTCAATAGTCCACCTTTAGGTTTTTGTTTTTCCTTGTCACTATGATCACCACCTTAAATCGGTAATTTATACTCTTCTAAATCTTCTTTCAAATACTCAATGAAGAAGTTTTAGACTAATTTATCTATAAGAGCTTCTGTTGCCTTTTTAAAGACTTTAGGTTTTCCATTGAAAAATAGTAAGCCTATCTCTGGCTAATGATTTTCTTGAATGTTATGAATGATATTGTAGTAATCTAAGTTTAGTTCCTAATGCAAAATATAATCACTATCACTATATTACCTCTTCTGCTTAAAAGTAGTAAATAAAAGCCTCCTTTTTCTCAATATAGTCTAATTTCTGCATAGAATAGGATAGGTCCTTGAAATCAATCACAATCTCTTGAATTTAAACTAATGCCTCGTAATACTTTGTGCTTATTTTCCTATACATCATGATAATGAGGGGAATTTAATATTGATAGATGTGAATTACCATTATTCTGTTTGTCGATTGTAGTTATCTCCCTCAATTTTTTGTAATAGCTCAAGGAGGGAAGTTGATTTTGAGTCGTTGCTTCCAATAGAGATCAATACAATATATGGCAAACTTTCTTGGGCGTATTCCATTAATTTTGATTGAGCTGAATTATTAAATTAATAATATTGACAAATTGATGATTATATTTTTAAAGCATTGATTGTAGAGTATTTGTATAATTGAAAATTAAATCATAACAATATGAGTTATATAACTTAAAAATACCTAAATCGACCATAAATTTCGAACATTAATGCGAAGTCAGATACATTCCTCTCAATCAAGCCTGGAAAGATTACAATACCTAAAAATATTATCTCTTTCTCGAGTGTTAACTCCCCAGTTCCGAATATTTAATGATCTAACGAATACTTCTTGGAAAGTTTATTGGAACGAGAAGCTGATTGTGAAGAAGTGACCAGGAAGCTTTTATCACAGAATAATACTGAATCCTCTCTGTAGAGATCAAGATAAAAGTTGAACTAACAGCTCCAGAATAAGCTTAATTCACAGCAAGACTCGCCTTATTTAAGTGATAAGCAGTAACGATAGCATAGTACAACCCTGACAGGATGGGGAGACAGTGAAAGCGATCAAATGTATGATCAACCTTGCTTCTCAGATATTTTCAAGATTAATGAGTACAATAATAACGTTAAAGAGATAACAAAGGGTAAAGGTAATAGTTTGAGGTAGAGCAGAAATATTCTGAAACATTATAAGTCAGAGAAAAACTCATTGTTTACTAATTCTTCTTAGATATCTGATGCATTTACCGGATAATGTACAATCAGAGATAGCAATAATACTTTTAAAATGGATACCTAAGCAACTTTAAAATAAAAATCAATAGCAGTAAATAGGAATCACCTAACTCAGTCAAATATTCCCTTTCAGACACAAGGACATCACAACTCCCCTCAAAATATTAAATAACCTAAAGAGTCAAGCTACATAAAGAATTTATAGTAGCCCAAAATACAGTACATGGAACTACATGAGTTACCGAATATAGGTAAATATAGAGAGGATCCCTCCTAAAACTCCACTGTTTAGCAATCAAAATTAAACTTTTTTAAACAATTCCATCAGAAAATTAGCTTCTCTGAATACGTAACTTAGAACACGTACAAGGAGAGAATGAACGATGTAAAGTCTACTTAAGACATCTATAACTTCAAGTTAAAGAAAAACAATGTGATTGATAACTACTATAGAAGTTTGGAATCCCAGCATGCTGAAGCTAATTGGATCTCTTCCATTGAATAAGCTAAGCCTAGATTATATTCTAATAGCTTGGTTTCATCTCCTATGAATGATGAGTAAATTATATAATTTAACTACAAATCAAACCCAGAAAAGAATATGTTTAAGAGCAGGTAATCACCTAGATAAACCTTTCGAAAGTCCAATACCGAGAAACAATCATTAGATATATGGACTGTTAGGGCTAAATAATATGCGTGGCAACTTTAGAGTTGCAGCATCTCTGACAATTAAAATAAATTCAACACAGTTAAGAGTATAAATATTATATCTTAAAAATATTGATTTCATCTAAACAAAAGTTATTCCATTTCTAACATGAATTTACTTGCGGGGTTTTGGGGTTTTGGGGTTTTGGGG